AAAAAAAAAAAAAAAAAAAGTTGAAATAAAATTGTAATATCGTTGTTGCAATTGGAGAAAGTTCAAAGAAAATCCTACGCAAAGATTATTAATGATCACGTTCGTAACGTTCATTTTTAAACAAGAAAGTCAACTTGTATTTTCGTATCGCTGTACAATCAAATTTTTCACTGCATGAAAGATTATAGGCTTAGTATTCGTGATACTAAGGAAGTTCTTACTAAATCGTGTTTTACTTCGTGATAGCTATTGTATTATATAAGTATTTTAGACATTAGACACAGAATTAGATAAAAAGACGAAAGAGAGAGAGAGAGAGAGAGAGAGAGAAGAACTTTAAAAGGAAGAAAATCTGCAGGAACAGAATAATAATAAAATCAATGACCCGATTGCAAAGAAAAAAATAAAAAAAAAAAAACAAACACAAAATGCTCGTGATCGGAATATACACAGAGAATATTAATTTTTCTATTAATTCTTGAAAAGTCGTCTCTATATTAGAAGAATGCAAATTAAGTGGTGAAATGAAAATAATCCATTTTATTGTTGTTGATACGAAAAAAAAAAAAAAAAGAAGAAAAAAATATAATGAAACTATTAAGAAGATGTTCTCTATAAATCTTGTATAATTCTTTATGAAGTTACAAGAAACGTTATTATATTTGTGCCATATATAATGCAACACACATTTTACTATCCTACTGATCCAAGCGAGATATTTTCCTTGATCTTTCCGATATTATATTATTGTATCGTTATATATACCGTTTTTATTGCATCTTATATTATGTTCTTTGCTTCATCACTCTAGTCGACATCGAAGTTTGTAGATTTAAAACTAATTTCTGTAAAAGGCTACGCACCACTATGTTCTCATCTAAATTTCATTATTTCCTTATTGCAAAAAATAGAAAATAAATTTGTCTGTAAATATAATTTGATGAAATAAATTTCTTACTGACAGACAGATGAGGGTCATTGCAAGCAACATTATCGAGTAAGTATAAAATGTATGGTTTTTTTTTTTCAGACCCTATATAGCGTATAGAAAATCGATAAATCAAATTTATTTTATAGATAAAGAGTTAACTTCATTAATAATGTTCAAAGTTTTTTAAAAGGTCTATAGAGAAAGAGTAAAGAAAACGTGTATTTTTACTTTCGTAACAATCTTTTATTCGTTTCAATGCGAGAATGAAAAATAATAATTAATGATGACATCGGGAAAAAATCACAAGTTATGTGATATACCCATGTGGGTGCACAGTAAAATGGAGAGAAAAAGAAAGGGGGAGAAGAGAAGGAGGAGGAGAAGGAGGAGTTAAAGAACGATATGTTACGTGCGCTTTTATCATACCAATGTGATACAATTCTAATTGTAAGATATGGACATCTTTAATGTCAGTTTCTAACTGTAATTCGAAAGAAAAGTTGGCTCCTTTGATTTCTAAATAACAATAAGATAAAATTACGAGCCTGCTTTATTACGACCTATTGTTTGTACCTTACATTCGCGACAAATGACCACCTAAATTATCATCTCATCGTTCTACTGTGCCTGGGCGACGAGACGAAGCATCTTACATAAATCGACGAAATAACTTCAGTTGTTTCTGAAACTTCTCTCTCTGAAGAACTACTGTGATGATCGTTAATAACAATAACCGTATTAGTTTTTCATTAACAGCAGAGAAGCGATCGTACGAGAGAAACGACGTCAGTATTGAACGTTTTAAACGACAATGAAAGCTTTAAAAGAGCTTAGTTGTCTTTCGACTGCATGTACTTGATGAGATCGATCACGCGGCTGGAATAACCGAACTCGTTGTCGTACCACGAGATCAATTTAACGAAATTATTGTTCAATGGAATTCCGGCTTTAGCATCGAAGATGCTAGAGTGGTTGTCACCAATAAAATCGGTGGAGACTACGTCATCCTCCGTGTAACCAAGAATACCCTTAAGAGGTCCTTCTGCGGCCTCCTTAACCTTAGCCTTGATGTCATCGTAGCTGGCTGGTTTGCCAAGTCGAACAGTCAAGTCAACCACAGAGACGTTATGTACCGGTACACGGAATGCCATACCAGTGAGTTTTCCGTTCAAGGCTGGAATTACTTTACCAACAGCTTTGGCAGCTCCTGTAGCAGCAGGGATGATGTTTTGGGCAGCGCCACGTCCGTCACGCCACAGCTACAAAAATGACAATACTCGTCAGAAAGATATTTCTAATAAAAACATATATACAATATATTAAACGATAAGCATACTTTTCCGGAAGGTCCATCAACCGTTTTTTGGGTAGCCGTAATGGCGTGGACAGTGGTCATAAGACCTTCTACAATTTCAAAGTTATCATGAATAACTTTGGCGAGAGGAGCCAAGCAATTGGTCGTGCAAGAAGCATTGGAGACGACTTTGTTGCTTGGATCGTAAGATTCGTGATTAACGCCAACGACAAACATCGGTGCATCGGCAGAAGGTGCGGAGATTACGACTTTCTTGGCACCACCCTCCAAGTGAGCCTGTTCGAGCAACAACAGAAATAAATATTATAACAACGAACGTTTTCGTTTGAATATATATTATGTTTACAAGGAGACATGTGTTTTATACGTACGGAGGCCTTTTCGATGGTAGTGAATACACCAGTCGACTCGACTACGTATTCGGCACCAGCTTTGCCCCATGGGATAGCTTTTGGATCGCGTTCACTGAAAACAGCGATCTTGTTGCCGTTAACAACGAGGCAACCATCTTCCATCTTGACCTCTCCTTTAAATTTACCGTGAGTCGAATCATACTTGAACATGTATACCATGTAATCTAGACCAATGAACGGGTCATTGATGGCGACAACCTGTTACCAAAAAATATATATATATATATATTTTTGTATAAAATTTTGTATAAACATTAATAATTTAATAATATTTTACATACTTGACCACCACGTTCAAGGGAAGCCCTGAGAACGAGACGGCCGATACGACCAAATCCGTTGATACCAATCTTGCTCATATTGTCTTCTTTGCAAATACTGTAAAATTGAGGAGAGAAAAAAAAAGATTCGTTAATTAAAATAAAGTTAACTTTTGAACGCATCTCTCAAAACTAATTAAAATCAGATAATATGACAATTATTTATACGCCATTTTTGCTATGAATCTATTTTAATTGTAGAATCTTATTTCAATTAAACGAAATAATTGTTAAGTCAGAAAAAAAAGGAAAATTAATTAGAAGAATGATCGATAATATAAAATAAAGGAACAAATTGCAATAAGAGTTTACGAGAGATGAAATTATAGGTGATGCGTTTTGAAGGTTGAACAAGGTTAAAGAATAAACATCGAATCCTTGAACGTGTCCTTGACGGCTAATGAATGTGACCTTTTTAAGGGATCGATCAAAGTCGAAAATAGAATTCTGTTAGCGAATCGATAAATTGCAAATACATTAACAAGATATAATTTGCAATTGCAATAGCGCATTTAGTGCTGACGTAATCTCGATCAGTTCCGTTATAATCTATATATCATCTAAATGATATTATCTTATGCCAAATTAACAGATTATTTCATATGTCAAACTAACATTGATAGAATATTTAAAAAAAAATGCTTCTAACATAACCTCGAAGACGATCCTCGTTATTTTGATAATTCATACGACGTCAATTTGTGCCGATAAGCTTTGAAAAAACTATTTGAAAAAAAAAGATATCGATCTCTTCTTCGTTGAGAATGGACAGAGATGCTTTTAAGACTAGAAAAAAAAATCTATTTTTATAAAACGAATAGATAGAAAAATTATACAAACAGATATACGATAAAATTATTGAATTAAAATATTACGTGATTGATTATAGAAGTAAAGTAAATTTATTCAGAAAAATTGTACGCTATCACCAGTGAGATATTTCGGTCTTCTATTTAATCAAATTCCTGTAGAAAAAGCCATTTTTATTTGTTCGTAACCGTCATCTTTCTAACGTCACGTACCACCCAAGGAAATATGCGATGTGTCTACGTGTAAGCGGATGCGTGATTTTACGTGCACGAGTTCACGTATAATGGAAATACAAAAGAGAGATGCAATAATGGAATGGACCATCATCCGCCATTCGTCTTTTATAAACGAGATTGTCCGTTACAATGGACGCCGGTAAGATGAATTTTCTTTCGCGATTAAAAAATATTGGACAAAAAATATCGTACGATTTAATCGTTTGACAAAAATATGAAAAAAGAAGAAATAAAAATGTTCATTGAAAACGAATGATCTGAATTGAAGGGCTATTGAATGAAATGGCGGTAAAAAAAAAAGATAAGTAATATTTAAATATACTCACCTTCGAAAAAGAGATCCGTGCACTACGATTACCACAGAAGCAGTGTCATTTGAAGGGCAAAAAACATTAATATAAGCCGCCTCGCGTTCCCGGCGAATGCGCTGTAAGTTCTTTCACCGTTTCGCGACTATTCGTTTATCTTCGATTATGTTCGGCCGTGCCAACTATCGACGTTCATTATAAGCGCGAATTTCAAACGAAATTTATATCAGAGAAGAAGTTTTTTTCAATTTTTTCTTCGATATTATCTTTACAATACATCGTAACAAATATATATATATATATATATGTACATAATAATAAGATATAACGATTCATACGATTATTCGTCATCCTCGGAAATAGATTTGGTCGGTGGAGAAATTTTACCGGAATCAACGTCGTACATGTAGACAATTAAATCAACGACACGATACGCGTAACCATATTCGTTATCGTACCTAAAATAATAATAATAAAAAAAAAAATAAAAACAAATTAAGATTATATATTGAATTTATATGAAAGTAATTATATGTACGTTTAATAAATAAAAACAAACCAAGCAACAATTTTAATGAATGTACTCGTTTGAGGAATGCCAGCCTTTGCGTCGAATACACAGGAATAAATGGTTTGATTGAAATCGGATGAAACGCAATCGTCTTCCGTGTAGCCTAATATATCTTTCAATTCACCTTCGGACTCTTTTTGCATAATTGCTTTTATTTCATCATACGTAGTTGGTTTATTAATTCTGAAAATATATTTGAATATTCAAAATCTAATAGAATGTATTTTAGTAAATTTTCAATTTACCTAAACGTCATATCGCATAACGAAACATTAGCTATTGGTACTCGAAAAGCTATCGCAGATATTTTATCTTTGAGAGAAGGAATAATTTTGGCTAACGATTTAGCAGCTCCCGTAGACGTTGGTATGATATTCTGTAAAGCTCCTCTTCCATCTCTCCATAACTAAAAAATAAATATATATTTAATGTAATTAATTCGTGTATTCATGAGATTAATATAATCAAATAAAAAGATCATTTTTTCTCAATGATCCATTACTTTATTTATCGGTCCATCTACAGTTTTCTGTTTAGCTGTAACAGCGTGTACGCTGGATATCATAGCTTCTAAAACTTCAAAATTATCATTCATAATTTTAACAATGGGAGCTGCACAATTAGTCGTACAAGATGCTGCTGAAACCACGTTTCCTTTTTTAGGATCGTAACATTTATGATTAACTCCATAAACGTACATAGGTGCGTCTATCGAAGGTGATGTAATTATCACTTTCTTTGCTCCACCATCGATATGTAGCTAAAATAATATCATTTATAAATTAAATTTTACACATTATTCTGAATAAGAAATGATACAAAAACAATGAAATATAATATGAATATATATATATATTTAGTTTCATAGTAAACCATAGTATTTAATCGTAGTACGTATATTTCAGATTAAATCGGTCGTGACTCTAAACAACTTTTTGCCATAATTTACTTACACTTGCTTTCTCCAATGTTGTAAATACTCCTGTAGCTTCTATCACATATGTTACATTATTTTCCTTCCATTTTATTTTCGACGGATTTTTCTCCTGTGACGTGGCTATTTTTTTTCCTAAATTTATATATATATATTTCGTATATAATATAATATTGATAATCTAATTAAAAATAATGTTAATACATGATTACACTTTCTAACCATCTATAACAATAAATCCATTTTCACATATTATAGCTTTAGGATATATCCCATGAGTAGAATCGTATTTAAAAAGATATATCATATAATCGGTCGTAATATAAGGGTCATTAATCAGATTCACCTATAATTATATGTAATTGTAAGATTATAAAAAAGCTTAGTTACGAATTCAAACTATTTCGTAATTATACTTGAATATTTTTCTCTAAAAGGGCTCGCAAACACATTCTTCCTATCCTACCAAATCCATTTATACCTACGACAGCCATAATTTTATTATTTCAACAACGAGAAATGAAGAATATTTTTATTCTTTCAACACTTGTAATTTTTCATGATCATTAATCTTTTCCAAATGTATTCTATCTAAGATAATTGAAAAGTAAATAGTACGAATTTATATACAATAAGATTTCGATGAATCGATTTATTAAACGAATTAATAATTTACATTATTATTATTTTATATTAATGAGAATAATTTATTTCAAAATTAAATTTTATTTCCACATTCGAATATCTTACATTAAATGAGAGTTATCGAAATTGCGAAATACATCTTCACAATTTAAATTTAATTTTACTCAATAGGTGAAAGAAAAAAAAATGTTTACGAGATACGAGAGATAGTTTTTCTAAATACTCTAAATCTCAATTGTAAGAATCAAACGTTCGAATTCAAACGAAAGTATTAACCGACTAAGAGAATTAATATAATTTCTCGTAGAACTTGAGATTCAGTCTTCATCCGATCTCTGAACAGTACAGTTCCTCTCTTGTGCTCAATTTAGTGCAAGACACTACGATGTATACTACAATGATATTTTAAAAATATGTTACGAAATGGAAGAAACTATCGCACTAATAAAGTCTTGCATAATTTCACAAAAGGGAGGCATACCAATAAATCATTTAAATTGTAAGTATCTTTCATGATTATTTTCATTTTATTCATTTACTTCATTAATTTCCAAAAAAAAAATCGACACTTTTCAATTTGTTCTTAACATTTTGAATTTCAGATGAATTTGAAAAAATAGTCGGGGAACCAATACCTTATGCAAGATTAGGATTTTCTAATTTGCACGAATTATTAAAAAAAGTAGACGGATTGAAGACCATTAAAAGGGCCGATGGGGTAGAAACGTTATTAGTAAATGATCCCAAAATTAAACATATAGTCGATTTAATACAAAAACAAAAAGAAAATTACAAGGCCAATAAGGTAAATGAAATTTACATTGAAATATCTATATTTCGTATCTTTTCAAAATCTATCGTAAATACATTGGATTTTGATTTTTCTTTTGTTTTTTTTTTTCAGTCAAAGCATTACAAACGTTTTGTACCGTTTGATTCAAGAAACTTCAATAATATTACTCGTAATAATGGTAAAGATAATAAAAAATTAGAATTTAATAATAAAGACAGAGTCTGGTTCTACGATAATGAAATATACAATAAACGACAGGATGTTGCGATAAACGGAAATCGAAATTTAACTGCAGCTTTGTATTCGTTTAATTCAGGTAAAATCTATTCATTGTTATAAAAAAAGATATTATTAATAATAATTAAACATTTATATAAATTATTTCTATTTTACAGAGGATCAAAATTATGATAAATATTGTCTCTCTGCAAAACTTAATAATGAATACAGTAATATCGTAGTTATCGAAGCATGTAAGCCAATAAAAGAGGTTCGTATCGATAATTCCTTTCTTTCTTTCTTTCTTTCTTTCTTTTTTTCTTTCTTTCGATCAATTTTTTCAATTTGTTGCTGTTTTCTTTTTTTTTTTTTTTTCTTCTAGACAAAGATTTATGAACCGATTATTCTCAGTCATCAGCTAATAGGAGATGATTTTTTTCTACAATTGGTAATACGACATCTTGGTCTACCTGTATGGCGTCAAGCAGGAAATATGGCTCTTCATTGCGGTTTGTGTATATCGGGACAAACTATAAGCGATTGCATCAAAAGATTAAACGAGGTTGAATGCATTTCGAATAAAATTGTTATCATGTTGGGAGCTGTTGATATATATAACGGTGATACTTCGCAAACTTTGATCACAAATATGAAAAATTTGTTGAAGATATTAAAATATAAATTTGCCTTTTCTAACTCGGCAATCAAAATTTGCACTATTCCACCATTGGCAAATTTATCGTTGTATGGACACGTTAATAAAGTATCGACACTTTATTCCTTCAACAATTGGATTCGATGTTTAAATTGCGTAGAAAATAATCTCAATAGAAATTCTAATAACATCGATGACAATTATTATCAAATAATCGATCTTTTTCAACATTTTACGGATGAAAATTATACCACCCAATACGAATGGTTTCAATTAAATGCTCGTATGGTATCCGGTTGCAAACATCCTTACGTATTGTGGAACAAATATGGACGTAAACGTGCGATGGAATTATTAACCGCTGAAATGTGAGTTTCCCCTTTCGTGTTATTTATTTAAATATTAGGCATTGATTAAATGTTTCGTCTTTTTTTTTATAAAAATTATACAAGATCAACTGCTAAAGTTTCAACCGTCTCGACGTCCTTATCCGTTGCTCTCGTTAACGGATTGCTTTTTAAGGATTATCAGACGCTTGAAACGTCAGTGATCGAAATGAATCATATTGCGAATTTTATTTGCAAATTGATTTAAGTCTCTCATCTCTCTCTCTCTCGTTGTTTTCTTTTTAATGTTATTGTTTATCAGTATTATTAGTGTTATTATTATTGTTGTTGTTAATATTATCACTCATTACTATTATAATATTAGAATTGAATTGAAAAAGCAATTTAAAAAAAATAGAATATAACTTTGTAATATGATATATCGAATAACGTCAGATCTATTGCATTTTGAACATTTTTACGTGGCTCGTAGAGAAACAAGTAACAAAAATAAATAAAATCTACATCGTAAGTTCGAATAACGAACAATACCCTTGCAGTACGGTATAAATGAAGTTTATATTGATAAATTTAATTTAACAATGGTGTTAAGAAATTTAAAATGTATGCGGCATTCTTATAAGACTGATACACTCATAAAAATGTACTTATTTTTTAAATTTCTCTACCCATTGACCCTCATGATTATTGTTTGTTTATTATTCGTACAAGCTTCTTATTGGAGCAATATTTCTACGTGGTCAATTTGTGCATAGATCTTGAACTTGTCAAAAGTTTTACATTATTCGCATATACAATTATTAGAAAATTCTTAGTTTTATATAAAAAATTATTATATTATATAAATTTTGTTGTAATGTGTGATAAATATCTCTTGCGTGTTCGAAAACCAGTGTGGTAATTATTTATAAATTTTACGAAAACATATTGTATATGTGTGTCTGTGTGTGTGTGTGTAAGAGTATGCGATAAAAATTTATTAAGGTAATTGTCAATATCAACGAATCGAAGAAAATTAAGGTACTTTTTTTCGATCCGTTTGATTATTATTTAAAAACAAGGCTGTGTAATATTAATGTTTTTCTAATCATACAAATATTTATAGTAATAATAATACTTTTAATTGTACTGTTCTAAATACTTTCAAGTTTTTGAACATGCGATATTAAAAAATGGAATATCGATTGTAATCGCATTATAATAAGAAGTAATTTGTTTTAAATTATATCCTATTTAAGCGTACAACAAGCATATATATTTATATATATATATATACATCGCATATAAAGAAACAGCTATTGTGCCATTCGTCTGCAAAGATAGTAGTTTCTTTTTTATTCGTGACAATTTATAAACGTGTATACAAATTACAAAAGTCTGATGCATATATAATTTATATTCATAAAGCATCTTGGTTTAATAAATTGTAAATGAATTTTCGAACAATTTCGCTAGATCCTCTTCCGATTGTTCACGTGGCGCTAACTTTGTTATTCGATGCTAGAAAAAAAAAGATATAATTGTATTTCAAAGGTTTATCAAAATAATAAACTACACTTGAACTCGTCAAAAATAATTTGCGATGTGAACGATTAAACGAATGTATAATCTTCGAAATTGTTATGTATGTAATAACCAATCAAACTTGTATGCTGACCAATAAATCACGCATACTTTCATAACAATTCACAAGTATATTTTCATTTGATTTTCTATGTGTCTTCGATAGATAGATAGATAGATAGATACACAACAAATTATTCTTACCTGTGGTAAAGTTCCTTTAACCAAAGTATTAATATCATCTTTTTTAAAACCAAGTTCCGTCAAACCATTTTCCACTTTCATTATTCGCATATATTTTCTAACGGTGTCTGCGAGAATTTTTCCAGCGTCAGCTCGTTTTGCACCTTTAACGTCAGTACCCAACAATTCAGCAGCTTCTAAATGTCTTTCTGGACAGGCAATTCCAGTGAAAGAGAAAACGGCTGGTGCTGAGATAACAACGGATAGACCATGAGGTATTATAGGATGATCTTTGCTATATCCCTGATAATAAAATAATCCTATAGAATTTCTATCCTTATTTTTTTTTATTATATTGCAATAATAATTAATAATAACAACTCACTTCGGGTTGAAAATTACGAACGTTACCGCTTATGGAATAAGAAAGACCATGACAAAGGTGAACGCCAGCGTTACCAAAACCAACACCAGCCATGGTACTAGCTAAATGCATATTACTTCTAGCTTCGAGATCATCTTCTTTGTATACTGCTCTCTCAAAGTATCTTTAAATATATACACAAAAATAATAATAATAATATTATAAAAATGGCAAATGACAAGTTTGAAGCGTAGGAATAATATTGAATTCTTACTTGCGCATTACTTGCAGTGCATATCTGGCCCATACATCGCTAATAGGATTGCTACCTTGATATGCTGGTCGTAGAATTGGATTCGGTGGACAAGGTGTTCTTTCCGTATATGGTATTGCTGTAAACGATTCCAAAGCATGACAAAGTACATCGAAGCCGGAATAAGCGCAAACTTTTTGCGGTAAACTCAATGTATGTTTTGGATCGATAAGACCCAAGGTAGGTCTCAGAGCTCTATTTAGAAAAAGAAAAAAAAAAGAAAAAAATAAATGTAATAATTAATGTACGATTATACTCGTGTATATATATATATCGAACTTCCACCTGTTTGCAATTCCAGTTTTGGCTTTGAGAGGTCGATAATCGAAGATGGATACACCGGTTGTTTCCGAGCCTGTACCCGTTGTCGTTGGTATTGCAATGAGTGGTTTTAAATTCACTAAAATTGGTTTTCCTTTTCCTATTGGCGCATTAACGTAATCTAAAAAATCGGCATTTGGATCACTGCTATAAAGATTAGCAGCTTTGCACGTGTCCATTACCGATCCACCTCCAACCTATGAGATAAATATTCGTCATCAAATTTTCAACGGACAACACTATCAATAAAATCGCTTACCGCAACGAAAGCGTCAAATTTTCCTCGTTTAGAAAATTCAATCGAATTTTGAAGACTCCCTTCCGTAGGCTCAACTCGAACCTCATCGTACACTTCAAATTCGATCCCGTATTTAGTTAAACTATCGATCGCAGTTTTAACCGGTTGAAGATTAACTAAATTTGAATCGGTCATTAAACATATTTTCTTAGCACCTAAATTTTGAATATCTTGACCCAATTCTCTCGTAACTCCAATCCCATAACGAACGGTTGAACACGCCATCTAAAATTAATATTTAAATATTAATAAAAAAAACAAAAAAAAAACAGAGATTATTTAATCGTACGTTAATGTTAATCGTTAACAAAGGATCGTTTTGAAAAGTTGAGAAAAAAAAAACTTTTTATGCGAGAGTATAAATATTATGTTACAGTTTATCATTTGAAACGAAGATAAACGTTGATGATTCTTGCCTTATCTCTCTCTTTCATTTTGTTTGTATAATTTGATATCAGAAATGTATCATTTTATTTACTGTTTTAAAACCGTTAACAATTTTCTTAACGAAATCAAAGTTGCTCAATTCTACATGATCGATTGGTTATTTTGCTCTTTTTATGAAGAAATTGAGCTCAATAAAATAAACAAGTTACAATTGTCGATCATTTAAATTCACCTCGAACGCGTATTCCTTCGATGGAATCGTATTAGCTGTGGTGCTACGAGTTTTTCCATGTTCTATTCCCCCTGGATTTCCATGCGCTGGACATCTGCATCTAACAATGTCAAAATAATATTTGATTTTTTTTTTTTTTAATCATATTACACCTTACACGACATTTTTTTTATTTACAAATGATCACGATGCAACGCAATGGGATAGATCGAAGCAGATGCAACTTACGATTGCGAGGAAATAACTTGAAGCAACTCGACGACTCGTCTCCTTGGAAGCATTTTTTTAAAATCACGAACAAACGATGGAATAAAAATTGATTGATCTTCTTTTTAAGAGTTAATTTTTATTAAAAGTAAAAAAAAAAATAAAAGTTTAATTAAATTCTATAAACTACGAATCACACCGTATGTGTCTGTTAGTTTAGAAGACTATCCAACGACTGCTGTTCGACCTGTTGGTTGTTTTCTCTGTTCATTGCCTTCCACTTGTCAGTAATATGTCTTGCGTAAGATTCGACCAGTGTTATTTTATTCATAACAGGGACGTATCAAGAACCAATATCTACGCATTTTTTCATTAGGAATTTTAAAATGACGATAAAACGATAATACTTACCGATATTTTATTATATGTCAGTTTTTATTGCGTCAAACGTGACACGAAAATTATATAAACATCCTTGTTTGTTTATCTTTCAAGAAAATTCTTATTAAATATTGTTATTTTTCTTTAAGTATATATATCTTATAACAATTGACATTTAAATTAAAGAAAACCGCGAGGAGAAGAAAAATTATTTTTGGGGAAATATATTTTAATTTATTTCAATTTTTATTAAAACGTTATATATTATTTACAGAATATTGGTATAGCGCACATTAAAGTGTACTACTCATTTGTTCTAATACATGTTAGTTTTAATATCGTTCTACGATAAGTAGCTGTTTTTCATTTGTGATTTGTATCAAATGATTTTTTTGTTAAGGTGAATTAACAAACTGCAAACATTAAAAAATCTACTGTTACTGCGTTTTGTAATTTCGAGCTTGCATTAACTCGTTCTTTCTCTTTCTCTCTTTCTTTTTTTTTTTTTTTTATATATGATAAAGTGACTACGTTAAAAATAATTAGTATGCGCTAGTAATTAAATATACATACATATATAATAATTAATTAATCATAGACGACATCAAACGCTTCCTTCCCAAACATTAGTTGTACTTATTTTTTTTTTTTTCCATCAAACAATTCGATAACTATGATAGTTTATCGAAAGACAAAATATAGTCGATTTCTTTAAAAAAAATACGTCTGTTCGTTCAATAATCCTTCATTATTGGATTGATCGATTTCTCTTAATAATTATTGATTGTACATACTGGATAATAAAAAAATATTTCAAGCACAAATGCGCTTACAAAGGCACTGAGGAATTCGCGATAGTTCTTCGTTATATCACGATAATTATTTTCATCTTTATTTTTTCACCAATGAGACGACGGAATAATTCGATCGGTAGAATACTCTTATGATGCTTAATAAAAAAAAAAATAAACGCTAATAAAATTTATAAAAAAACATATCATCCCTATTTTCATTATTTTCATTTTTATATTATTCCACCCCTTTTTTTTCAAAGATGAACTTTCAATATTAGTCCTTTTATTTGAATGAAACATTAATCAATTTAAACGCTCTCGGGTACGATCTTGTCGTAATGGAAAGTACTGCTCGAGTAAAAGCTACCCCTTTTAGGCATATGGGGAGTTGCTATTTCTTCTTGAAGAGGTTTGTAAACCAAACCACAATTTTTATTATCGACGAGACTTTGACGAAGAATCATTGGTGGTCTGATAACCGGTCCACGGCCACGACCACGGCGTTTCGCCACGGTGATAGCCACATGAGCGATCAACAATAGAACTATTAACGTCACCACAATGACAGTTAATATAGGCCAAAGTGCAGTACTGTACCATGGTCGATAACTCGATGACTCAACGATGTAATCTCCATATTCTGTGTATTGATTCTGTTCCCATGCTCTTTCAACGTCATTGTTTGATTCCGTAAAATGGTCGAATGGTTTTAAAATTTCCTAAATATCACAAAGAATATTTGTGACAAAAATCTAAATTTATGCACATTTTGTAAATTGTATCAACGTACCTCGATATCTTCGCGATCACCACTTATAAGAGAATTCGTGTTCTCTACATCATCGATTAATTCCTGTGAGTTGATCCTTGGTTTTACGGGATTAGGTATCATCCTAGATGGTGGTCCATCTTCTTCAGAATCGCAAATAATCTTTGCTAGATCTTTCCATTGCGTGATGCCATCATCGTCAGAATAATCCATGTTATCGCCATAAGTACTGTATCTTTTTTTTTCAAAGAATTAAACAAATGAAAATAGAAAGATAGAAAAAAAAAAGAAAACAAATCGCGATAAAAATGAAATGCCATCTTACGTGCGTCTTTCCACGGGGGTAATGCCATGACTCGTCAACCATTGAATAGCTTTGTTAAAATCTTCGTCACATTTCAAAGGATTGTGTGACCAATCCAAGGCTGAAAGTTTCGGCGTTGCGTTGAGTTCTTCAAGAGTGATTCGTTGCAGTAAATTGGAACGAACCGACAGCAATCTAATAATTCATAATCAAAATTGAACATTTATATTTGTTAAATAAAATATAAGTAAAATTTGTCGTTGGATTTATTACCTGAGGCTTTGCAAAGGAACTCTAGCTTCACTCCAAACTCTTTCCAATTCGCATTGGCTCACGTCGAGTTTCGCAAGCGAAGGTACTGACAAAAATGGAGTAACTTGCAAAGTCTTCAGAGGATTACCAGAAAGGTTGATTCTGTTCAAGGTAACAGCTCCGCGGAACATATTTTCCTCTAACTTATTTATCTTGTTATAAGAGATATCCAACTCTCGAAGAGAAGTGAGGAACTTGAAAAGACCGTTGGGTAAAGAGGAAATACGATTTGATGATAAATTCAATCTGTTTAAAGCTGGCATCTCGTCGAAAGTTTGAGGGTCCAATACTTCCAAACCGCAATTAGAGCATTCGAAACGATAAGTGCTATATGTTTCATATTTAAGACCAGTAGTCTTGAAAACAGGCAAGATTTTTAGTTCCGGATTGTTGTTCATTAACAAAATCTGTAATTTCGGATTGTTTCTTAGATGATGTTCGGTCCAAGAAGTTAATCTGTTGTGGCTAACATCGAGATGAATCAATTGTTCAAGATGCAAGAACGCATGTTGATGTATTCTCTTCATTCCATTCGAATTAACAATTAATTGTTCCAACATTGGCACGCCCAATAAATCCTCTTTTCCTATGCTCCTAATCGAGTTTTGAGCAGCCTCTAACGTTCTCAATTCTGAACCCTTTATAGAAGCCAAAGTAAATAAATCATTTCCTGAAAAATGTTAGAAAATATATTATTGGAGGAATATATTCCATATCATGCGAAAATAACCTAAGGTAGCTTAGTAGATATAAAAAATTACCAGAGATACGAAGAACCTGCAAACTACTGTATCGGAAAAGTTCCAGCGGGATAATTGACAACGAGTTATAGGACAAATCCAAATCAACTAAAGAGCTCAACGTATCAAATAGAGACATCTCAATTTCCACTAATCTGTTTCCACTTAAATTGATATACTCCAAGTTCTGCATCTTATGAAATGCAGTACGTGGCAATCTCTCTAAACCGTTGTTAGAAAATACAAGCTCACTGACGGAAGGAGCTTCGAATAGATAATATCTATCCCCTTTGAAATATTGATCATATTTCAAGGGATTACCAGAGATGGTCAAGTGACTCAGCTGCGAATTATTTTTGAAGGTTTGTGGATGGATTTCTTCAAGTGCGTTCCTCGTTAAATTGATGGCGAAAAGTATGGGAGTACCGTCGAATGCCGTACGATCGAGATCGACGATACGAGTATCCGCGATCTTTAAATTCTCCAGCTGTTGCAATCCTCGGGATTTTAAGGCGTAAGGACCAAGACGAATTTCTTCGGCATTTTCGATTCGTAAACTGGCTGTACCAGGAGCAAAAACTTGTCCTTCCACGAGTTTTGTGCACCTGCATTAATACAACGAAACAACTTTTAACCTTTCTGATTACTTATCAATAGATAAATAAAAAAAAAAAAAATAAAAAAACATACGTAGCGGTTGATGCAGCGACGTATTGTGCGACGCATTTGCAATAATCGGGACATTGAGTCATAACATTTTCATCATCGTCATCGTCGTCGTCGTCGATTTCGCCGAAGTCGTCGTTTTCGTCGTTTTTGTTAGCATCCTCGTCGTTGTCTTCGTCGTCTTCATCGTCATCGTCGTCATCGTCAATATCATCCTCAATATTATATTCGTCATAGTCAAATGCATTGTCAGCTTTATTATTATTCTCTCCCTTATTTTCGTCCTCGTTCAATGAGTGAATCTGCTGAAAAAGTATATCCTGCCAATTGGTATATTTGTTAGCGTATTTCGGTAATATGATTTTCTTGTCGATCACATTTGGAGCGATCGTTGTATTCTTATTCGACGATTCATTCGACGATTCACTCGACGTTGAATGATTCTCACGAAGAAGTTCATTAGGCAAGCTCGAGTTTGATTCCAAAGCTGCACCAGTCCTTGTCGCGAACAAGGATAAGCACAGGACAATGGTCAGCAGCAAAGCTGCTGGGATTTTCATCTTGATTCGTATCCTGCAAAAAAGAAAAAAAAAACAAAATACAATATACATATCAATGATTACGTTTGTACGTGAAACAACAATTGGAACTCGATTGTTCGGAGAAAAAGCCACCCACCGAGTTATCGCAAACCTACGATAAGAAATGTCGATAATAATAACTTCCTGGTAAATAGAAATATACAAAATCATGATTTTACGGTTCATGTTGCATACAATTCTATGAACTCATTCAAATGAAACGTTTTGATTTAAAAGACGATTTAAACAGGATAATCCCCCTCCCTATCTCATGGTTTGACCGAATGCAAGATGTTATGCAGGAAGTGTAGGATCTTGGATTTTTATTTGTTAGTAAGGAGAGAAAGGAGTAGAAAACTATGGGAAGAAGCATCAAGAAGGATAAAGCTTCGAATTACCACAAAGAAAGGCTATCCTTCTCCTCCTCCTCTTTTTTTTTTCGTCCTTTTTAACGCACGATCGATTTCATATTAAAACTAACAACTCCGATCGGAGGAAGCTAAGTTCAGTAAACTTTTCATATTTCTCCTTTTATACTTGTACTCTTTTTCTCTTCTTTCTTTTTGTTTGTTTGTATTTTTGTCGCAATCTTAAACTGCTTTGAAGAGATAAGATAAAAGTAGATTTTTGTCTTGCGCGAAAAAGAAATTTAGAATTTTTCTTGAAAGAGTATCTCAACAAGGTAATTATTGACGTTCATTTTGAAAATATAAAAGAAAGTAAAAAAATCTAACAAAAAAGAAATTAATAATAATAAGAAGTATAACTGATAATATACGAAAGAAGTCTTTGATAAGATGCTATCTTGACTGCATGCAATGATCGTTAAGCAATATGGCGTTCGTTTATTAATTTTGTTAGAATAAAAAAATAATCAGAAAAGAGAAGAAAAAAAATGTCAATTCTACAGCTGGTACGCATCGTACGTATCGTGGTATCGTATGAAATTTCATCCGTTTTTGCGGCAACTCTTTTCCCCTTTTTTTTTTCTTTTTCAACGATTTAAGAAATGTTCAACGAGGCGACATAATATCGAATCGACGAACACGATATCAATGGTCACGTACACACCTTATCAAATTGAATGGTTCGACTTTAGATTCACTCAGATCGAATTTCTTTTAATCGTTTAACTTTGAAATTATCAAAATAACGTAAATCGAGGTAAATAAGTTTAAAGATATTTTTGGAAACATTTCATAAAGTGTCTTCCTTTCAAAAAGCTCAATGGTACAACGAACGGATTTAAAAGTCGGTAAATAATATTAAGAGGTCACAAAAGAGAAGAAAGAAAGAAAAAAAACAGACCGGAAAAAGGAATGTAGAAGAAGAGATGGTATTTTAAAAGTTTAGGGTCTAATACGAAAGGAGAGAAGACCAGCTGGATATCCTTTGTTCGGATCTTTCAAAATCTCTCAAATGAAGTTGAAAATCCCTTCAAGCAGGTAAAGTTACTTCTCTCGTGTCGGCATGGTCCAAAAGTACAGATGGTCGTCTTCTACGAGAGTTCATCCTTTTTCCTTTTTTTGTTTTTTTTTTACCATGAAAAGATATGTACATAAATCTTGGGTAGAGGAGTGCATACTTTTAAAATCATATTACTTTTGAATCTCTAAATAAAGTCGTCTTACTTGAAACTACATGATGCCGATATATCACCGTGGTTGAGACAAACTTGCGAAATCTAACTAACGTCTCGTATAACAAATCGTATTTGTTTCTTTTATAAGAACCGTCCGTGTCGATGATCCTTGCTATCCGTTTCTCAGTCATTCAAAGTTACCTAAGATCGAATGGAATTGGCAAGAGGTCAACAACTTTTTCAATAGGATTATTTTTAGCACCAAAAATCGATTTGAGGAAAGAAGAAGAAGAAGAAGAAGAAGTCAAAACAACGAATGAAAAATAATCATTCTTATTATAGCCATTAAAAATCGATTATAAGAATTAATTATTCGTTACTACTACATCGTTGTTCTCGTTTCTTCTTATAAACATCATTTTTATCGTCTCCTCTGTTATTCCTTATCTGTGCATACATATTTACATCTCGTGTTCCACCTTCAAAGAAGAATATATTTGCTTTTGTCTCAGACGCCAACGCAACGCAGTTTAAAGAACAATTCGAGGGAAAAGAGAAAAGAGAGAATCATCGATGGACTTTGACACCCGGTAGATCGCTTTGCTAATTCCCTTATTCGTTTAAAGTGCTATCGCGTATAAAATTACGTCTGTTATTCGTTTAAAAACTGAGCGTAGTCAGACTACGCGTTCTTGACTATACGTGCTTATCATTTGCAGCCAGTTCGTAACAATTATTTTCTATTCCGGTAAATACAATTGGATATTTTATTTTTTGTTTTTACATTTCCAACGACATACTTACGATGACGAAGAAAATGCAATGATTGCAAATAAAATAAACGTTACGTAAAAAGTTTTACATGTTCGAGAACAAAGATGTAAAAGATTCTCTTAACGACAATCTACAATAACAATGTTGACGAATACGTGAATAAGATAGAACTAGGTGTATCCTATTGCAATTCTTATAAATAAATATTACGTAGAGCGTAATAAAGATGCGTCCAAGCATAGAATCTTAAGACAGGTCAACGTGTTGCACTCTCACATTAATTTCTAAGATACGTAAGTCTTTTCTAGTCTCGACAATGAACCCAACAATAGAACGATAGTAGCGGAATGCAAGATTCAATGTTCACCTCGAGAAGAAGAACCGGCTCTTCCACTCTGTATTCATTCCTTCGCAAACGTACCAGACTCGAAATGATCATCGGTAAGAAGCTTCAACTATGGCGAGAACAACATTTTCCAACACGAAAAATCTTAAATAGACAAATGAAAAAGTCAGATAACGTAAAACACTCAAAGTAGAAAAAGAATTCTACGATTGGCGCCATTCGTCTGACTGATTACCAATACACCACCACACCTGTGGTTGCACCGCATTATATACAATGACGTTAGAGTGACGTTTGATACGTTAGAAAAATAATAATCACAGGTAGCTCGATAGTTTTGGAATGCGGCCAACATTTGTATTTATCTCTAACAGATATTTTGTTTATTATGAATGCAACAAAGACTAACATATGGATTATCCTCAACTCAAATGAGATGGTTGATGATGATGGCGGATGCAACGGGAATGTTTACGTTGGCACCTTGGCCGTCATTTCTCGCGAGCTCCGAGCCGATTTCGCAATCTCGATAGCCCATCCATCGTCGGTTGCGTAGAGTCACAGGAGGAGCTTTCAATGCGCTTTCCACGCTTAAAAATAGATCACCGCGCTCTGGACACTGACCTTGCTATTGCGTAATCAACACGATACTGTCCATTTAAAGGCAAGGAATTTATCTTAAAACGTCTGTGCAATTAAATGACGTCAATGAAATATGGATTATTTAAGTACCCGATTAATAACTACCCATGAAAAAACATTCAGTTCTAAACCCACGTTGTAAATTGTTTTACCAACGAAGACAATGACGATGCGCATCGTGAACAAGGAGAATAAAAGATAAATTTACTCCACGAGAGATATTAATATTTATGTTTGATAAATACATATTTATAATATACGAGTTTGTTATCGAAGAATCGGTTACTCCCTGTGCTCCTAAAAGCTAGAAATACATGAATTGTAAAGAACGTTAGATGAAATGGAAGATTCCAGGTAGATATCTCTCGTAATCTTTTACGTCTATCTTGTCTGCATGCGTATACGTTTAGTTTTTTTTTTTCAAACGCTCATTTGCAATCATCTGCGATAGTTGTATATACTCTTCAGTATAGCAATGCACGAGTTATCGCGTGATCATTTATTTGTCAGACGTAATTGAAACTATAACAATCGACACTAGCAATTCGAGAAGTGTCCTGTTATTTCAAGGGAGTCAATAATGTGGCCTATATGTTGTATCTTCGGAAAGCTAACTTTTTTTTTTTTTCTTTTTTAAAAGAAACATCAAAAAATAACACAATAATCATTAATTTAATCACAACGAGAGAGGAAAATTAGTTCGAGGAAACTATTAAGAAAATATTTAAGGAAAGTTTCGTAAAGTATTTCTTAGAATGCGTTAGAAAAACTGTGAAGTATTATTGCAACGCGATATTATTTCCATATTTTATCGCGATTGATAAAATAAATGTAGAAGGCAATTAAATATCATTTAGATAATAAAGATATTTCAAAATTCTTTGGGTCTAAGGAAAAAATAATAATGGCCCGTTGAAAAATCGTATACAAACACAAGAGATAAATTTAATCACGTTAGAAATTCCATCGTCGACGCAAATATATATTAATAGCTTGTTATCCGCGTAACGTTGAACTGGCCGCATTCATCGTCAATACGATTCGCGTTTTTGCCTAAAACCCAAACTCGATTCGATGTTTTTTATTTTTTTTTATTTTGAAATAATGATCGATTTCTTCGTGTCGATTATAATCGTCATAGTTCCAGGGAGGACAATCCAATAAGATGATATTATTCACGTTAAATGTCACGTGATACGACGTGACTTCGATAGGGTCGTTAATCTTGGTGGAAGTAAAAAAAAAAAAAAAAAAGAACAAAAGCTAAAGAGGACACCTTTGCTTTCAATATGATAAGAAATTGGAAAGACTGTTCGGGAAAGAAGGGCGTATGAGTAAAACCGATAAGATAAAAGATCGCGTCAGCGAATAGGTGCGTTGGTTATTTTAGAACCGAATAAATTATCCTTTCTTGGCGTCGCCAAGGAACGAACAGAGTCCTCGGGGTCGACCGAGGCCATTTCGGACAAACGACCTCTACCGATCTGACCAACCATGAATCGAGTAGCCAGCCAGAAGATTTCTCGATCAGACCTCGAACTCATATTAGCCTCGTCATTTTGTCCATCCATCTTACGTTAGCTACGTTTAACGTTCTATTAGACCCACCTTGTATCACTCGAAAGATTTCACGATGTTTCCTTGTTTTTCCAGGAGATTAACACTTTACCACACGTATTTAGAACGCGAGAGGAAGAATAATAGAAACGTGGGAACAACTCTATAATGGATGATCGTTTCGCGCTTGCGGTGCAGGAATTTCTGAACTACGTAGCTCTATACTCGGGGACTGGTATAGTAGGTCGAGGAGGGGGAAGGCAGCAGGACCCAGGGTCGTACGTCCGATTGGTCGAAGATGCAGGTAGAAATTCAGGTGACAGATAAGAACTGCAGTGTCCTCTGGTGGTAAAACATTTAAAACGTTCGAAACGCACCCGCAACAACAACCACTTGAGAAAATCTTCAGCGTGTGGAATATTTTCTTCTTAAGGAAAACTCAACGTGGGCGTGGATTACCGTTCAACGTATGTAACTTTCTTCTTCATTTATTTTTTTATTAATTCATCAATGTAAATCAACGATCAACTTCTACTCACAGTTCGAACTCAACTGTTTCTACTTGCGATTCGCGCCAATCTATTTAACTGTAACATTGCGAAAAGGTCACGTTTTGTCAGGTGCAACAACGATTACTCATCGCTCGAGAAGGACGCAATCATTTCCTAATTGCCATTACGCTCCTCGCGAGTCCATCATTGAACTACGTTAGGCTACTTTGTAACATGCCCATCGATAAGGTAGATATTTACTTTTCTAATTCTTTTTACCGATAGAGAGATTTTAGGCCCAGTGATATCTCTCTCTCTCTCTCTCTCTTTCACACACATGCTTTGTGAAAAAAAAAAAAAAAAAAACTATTTTTATTCGTTTCTTTATTATGTCATTTAATGAAGTTCTCTCTATAACAAATTCGCAGACAAGAATTCTTTTCGTTATTGCTCGGCTAATTTTAGGATATTAATAAAAAGATTCATCCTTTGGCACAATATATAATACATATGTAATAGACTCTTAGTAAATATATATTACGTATATAAATAAGCTGTAAACTGACTGCTCCTTTGAATTATTAAATATATTTACGCATTTTTATATTTTTATATTTATATGTATATAGATATATTTATATATATATATGTATGTATATGAATATTTAATATCTTTATATACTCTAGGACTGGAATACCTCGACATATATCACATCCTATATTGACTATCGTGTTGCAGGCTGGACTTGAAACGTTTTTTTTTTTATCGTCCTGCATGATTTTTCTTTTCTTCCTTGACAAAAAAAAAAAACAAAGACAAAATCACGCACTTCATCTTATTGCTCGATTAGATTTTTTTTTTTGTTCATGGACTAGAAAATACTTCTTATTCTTAATTATTTAATATACTTTTTCGCTAACTTTCGTCTTAAGGCTATCAACGATAGTTTAACCCAACCCTCGATGTGCTCTCGATTAATCTTTAACAATTTTTTAACGAACATCGTTGAAAAATTATTCTCTCCCATTACCACGATGAAAATTCAAGAGAAATTGTAGATCTTCTTCTCCCATTCTCTCTCTCTTTCTTCTGTGAAATATTGACGTTAGAATAATTCGTCTAACGAATAAAACTTATCGACTAATACTTTCGTTCGCGTAATCTTATCATTAAATTTATATAATTGCTACTTTTTTTTTTCAATGAATATATTCTAAAAGAGATCAACTTGTTCGCGCGAGTCAAAAGATCATTTCGAAATATCAAAATGAAACCTAATTTATAATATATATATATATATAGAATTCTGTCTCGATTGATCAATGATCGCATGTATTTTATGTATATATGTAAGTATGTATATGTCCCTATGAAAGAGTCGAGGAAAGAGTTTAAAAAAATATTAATTCGATTCTCCGCTGGCAACGGTAGCGTCGGTGGGTGGGCCTCCTGCAGTTACAACTTGTGGATCACCCGCAGGAAGTCCTTGCATTTCCTGAACGCCTTGAAACAATTTCCCAGGGAATCCTTGAAGAAGATCGTAGGAGACAGGCGTTGGTGGTAAAGCCGTGGTGTGAGCGTGTGGCGATTGTAACACGGCTATAACTCTTCTCAATTCTTCTAGCGCGTTTCCTAAAATTTGCCATGTCGTTTGATGTTGCATCCAGAGATGTTACAATTAATTTTTAAATTCGTATTGATTGGAAAATTATTACCCTGCATTAAAATATAATTTTTCGCCAGGAGAAGGGTGGCAATTTTGGAAAGTTTCCTTACGGACGGACTATGAGCATAAGGAATGACCGAACGAAGCTCGTCCAGAGCGTCATTCAAATCGTGCATTCTTCTGCGTTCCCTAGCATTTATATTCAAACGAACACTTTTCCCTTGACGCGTGGTCTTTGATTTTGGCGGACAATTGAGCCTGGATGCTCCCGGTCTATGGGAGACAAATTAAATGATCATGGAATAAGCTTTTGTAAAAGAATATAGTCGGCTCTGTTAATTTACCTTTCGTGATCGGGTCTATTTTCATCTGAGAGAGCACTCGAGGAAGCATGCGGTTGTGGTTGCTGTTGAAAATAAAATCCACCGAGACCTACGGCTCCCAAAGGTGTTCGACGTCCTGGAACAGCCTGTGCAGCAGCTGCCGCTGCTGCTGCCGCTGCTGCTGATGCTGGATGTTCGCTAGTTGAGTAACTCGTTGGTGGACCGGAAACACTAGGATGAGATACTCCTGGGTTCGAGTACATAGATTCGAGGGACGCTGCTGATGGTGGGGCCAATGGATGCTGTTCAACCGATCGAATAAAAATAATACCTACGAAAGTACATAAATGTATATATACATATATATATCTTTACGCACTTACAGCAGCACGATGCTCCCAAGCCCACGTAGGGTGAGACGCGGAACGTTGCCAGGATCCTTGCTGTAAATGCGCTTCGGATGGTATACTTTCCCTTCGGTCGTCGTCCTCCGTCGAACTACTCTCCCCGTCGTACGACCTCATCTCTCCAAAGAAAATTCAATCAATTGACAATGAATTATTTTATCTAGAAAATTGACAAGTGTGTATTATTGTCACGGGACATTAAGGTGGTGATCGATAAAATACCATTAAATGCTTACCAACTATTTTTATTGTCGACTCTCCGCGCAGGATCCTTGCACTTTTCTTATCCTAGAATAAAGTCGGCAAGATTTTTTTCCGTACGAGCGTGTAGTATGCCATTTTAGCGAGATATCAATTTTTCTTTTTCTTTCTTTTCTACAAAATAAAAGATAAGAAGAATGGTAGCTCTTATAATATATTTATATACTTTCAGAGTAAATGAACCCTTTTTTTAAGATAATGTCACTCATCTCTACTGTAATCAACGCCGCAAATCACTGCCATTTTATTTTCGTCAAAGGACACGCGTCAATTTCACTTAAATAAATATCCTCCCCCTTTCTATTTTGATTTCTATATTATTATCTAAGAGATCCGATTCGATTCGATTTAAGCATTATAATCATTCCGAAAGTATCCACAGGATACTTTTTAAGATCCTTTTCAACGGAATTATTTAACGAAAAGCATTTCGCTATACCGTTTTCGCGAACACGCACGCGTTTTATTGTTTGGAACGTCCTGCGCAGAGGTTGCGTCCAAAACTACCCCATTTTAGTTCCTCAATCTTCCTGAAGGGAGAATCAAAATCGAGGGATGCTGAGCTGTACCAATACCTGGCGAACTCTATCGTATGTTAGCGTAACTTTCAAGGTCGTCAAACATCTGTCGCCTTTACCCCTCGGATACATGGATGGACAAAAATTCGATCCATTTTTCCCGCCGTTTCAATTGCAAAAGAAACCGTACCCCTATCGATTTATCTTTTTTCCAACGAATTTTCTATCATATCTTACATTCAATGAAAAATATAACAAAACTTTGAGACAGGATGATGATATACGGCTAGCAATAAAATTAGATAAAAGTAAAATTGTTATTATTATTTAAAAAGGAAAACGTTAAACGATTTAATTAATTATATTTGGAAAGACATTTAATATTGGGGAAACAAGAGAAACAGGATATGGAAGTACTTGCAATAACATGACATATCAATCTGCGGGAACGATGTAGGACTAGAAGAGGAGACAGTTGTAACGAGGACGAGGAACAGATCGACAGCTGACGCATTCCGTTGTGCGTTATACTCGATCGCCTCGACGGAATAATAATGCTCGAATCAAAACCGACGACGGGTCTCGCGTTAAACCTAGCCATATTGTTCGTTGCATCTGTCGCGTACGAGACGATCGAGAGGGGTCGTCATCCGCAACGACTACCATTTATTTCCCATTTTCTATTTTTACATCTAATGTCAACCAAAGGATAGAAAATTAGTATTACAATTGGAATAATGAAAGAGAAACTATTCGTTATCGGTCATTTGAATTAGGAAGAAGCCAACCGAAGAAGAAGAAGAAGAAGAAGAAGAAGAAGAGGACATAATTCGACGCAACAACGATCGTTTATAAGACTTTCGTCATTATATTGAAAAAGAAGAGGTTGGATGATAGTCGCGAGGAAGGCAGGAAAAGAAAAAAGGGCTGGATTAAGGGTAGAGAAGAGAGAGGTGCTCGAAGCCAATTGCGAGGTAACACACGGGATACGACGGTGGCGTGGTGGCCCATGTGGGAGGAGAAGAACCACGAGCAACCTCGCGTATCTAAGCGCGAAGGTGGAGACGACCAAGTAGGGGTTGGCTTATCGTGTTTTCTCTCTCTCTCTCTCTCTCTCTCTCTCTCTCTCTTCCTCTTTGTTCCTCTTGGAAACGAGATTATTTCCGTAAAAAGCAAAAGAAAGACTGCGTGACGAAGGATCCTGGAAGGAAGGAAGGAATAGGGGAGGAGGCAATTCTGGAAAAAGGATATAACAAGACTGGTCGTGTGTGATTTTTCTTCAACGGTGTGCGGCGTATCTTGTGCGTTCGTTTAACACCTCTGGATCGGTCTCTGCGTAGTAGGAGAGGAGTCGTTGATAAAGCGTTGAGAAAGATGGAAAGAAGAGAGAATAACGAAACGAGAGGTGGAGCGATAGCGAACGGTGGTACGGGGGTGGTTTTAGGAACGAAGGGTTGGTCCGACCGCTGGAAAGTCCTGAGGGATGAGGGACGGAGTTGCCAAGGCAACGCTCCACCAGCCTCGGCTTACTTTAGCTCCGTTCGTGCACTCGGATCAATACAGCATCACCGTGAGTTCCCGGACCAAACACACCCCCTCACCGGCCAACTCTCTCTCTCTCTCTCTCTCTCTCACTCTCTCACTCTCTCCCTTATTTCTCCACCAAGCCCAGCCACAGACCCCTCTATTTTTCTCTCTTCCTCACTTTTTCTAACTTTAGTACGAGTCTACGCGTGTATGCCCTTTTCCTTTCTCATTCTAGTTGCTTTCTCTCTCTCTCTCTCTCTTTCTCTCTCATTGGATCTTCTTGTTCTACCCCCTTCTACGTTCTACCCATGGAACGAACTCTGAGTACAGTGATCGCAAAAATTATTGCAAACATCCTCGATGGGTCACCGTTCGAATCATTGTAGATACGATTAATCAATGACCCAACGTTTGTTTAATATCAACTTTATTAATATTTCAAAATGTCTTGAATAAAATTGGAATTGTGATATTGAGAAATAGTTATTCTTAGCTTATATTAGTCGTCTCATTCGATAATCGTTGTGTCAATATTGCTACTTCCCAAATTTCTATATCGACGTTATAAATCGTCGTCGTATCCGATTAGTTATATCGAATTTCTCGATTTCTTCCGTATAATTTTATCCCTTGATTTAGACATTTCCGTTCTCAAAAAGGAGAAGAAGGTTAGAAACTTCATCTTATCTTGAAAGAAAATTGAAATGTGAAGTTTATATATAATAGTAAAACGCAACATAAAAAGTGCATGACAAGTTTAAAGTATGATCGATCTATTACACGGTCTTCTTAATTTAAAACCAGTCTCCTTGGGAGTAGGGCGCATCTTTCTTTAAAATAACTGATATACCGTTCCGATGGAAGACCGATAAGAAAAAAAAAAAGGGGGAAACGAACCAAGAGCGATCGTCTAACTTTCCGAGAAAACGAGAGAGAGAGAGAGAAAGAGAGAGAYGGGATCATTACGGATGTTGCAAAACTTTAATCTACGATTCCTACCCGGAAAACTCATCTTCTCTTTGTTCATTTAATTATGTGCTCTATTATTAACGTCATTTATCTTACGCTATTCGTAATCCAAATGATAATCATTTTCATGCCAAAGAATAGAAATAAATGTTCAAATTGGTTCTCCTTTAATCGTGTGTAACAACATCTTTATTTATAATATAATCGACATGGCGTATATCTCGATGGTACGAGTCCATAACTGATTCGACCTATAACATTAGAGAGATCGATCGTAGTTGTATGGAAAGGGAAAACACGACTTGGATATATTCGTGAAAATCGACAAAAAAAAAACTGCTACGACGTTGAAAAAGACAAAATTACTAATTAACGTCAAATATATAGGTATATATATATATTCTGTATATCTTTAGGTCGTTATAATCGCGCTCGTATTCTTGTTTTCCTTCTTTTGCTCGGTGTAACAGCAGAACGTGCATTCTTCTCGTGCGTAAAAGCGCCATGGAAAGGGACGAGAAACCGGGAGGCGGAGAAGCGAGAATACGAGAGCGAGTGAGCTAGGGCTGCTTATCGTGTAAAGGGAACAACAGAAGGACAGACAAAGATAGAGAGAGAGAGAGAGAGAGGGGTGGAACGAGAAGCTCAAAAGGACAAAGAGATGTGGGGGAAAGAAAAAGAAGAGTCGGTAGGTAGCACGATCGGGAGAGAGAGAGAGAGAGAGAGAGAGAGAGAGAGAGAGGAAAAGAAACGAAAGAGATGTAGCGGGCAGAAATGAAATTTAATAAAATTTCAAGCCCGTTGGTCGGTCCATAGAAAGGGGGAGAGAGAGAGAGAGAGAGAGAGAGAGAGAGAAAGAATAAGAGTGGGAGAAAGAGAGGGAGAGCGCGAAGGGGGGAGAGAGGAGAGCGGCCGGGTCCGTTGGCGGTCACCATGGAAACGCAGCTTCCCGCACCCTGTGACGTCACTGCTCCATCGATCTGCAAGCCCTGGTGTATGGTTATCGCTACCACCGTAGTCGACAGCCACCGCTATCCCCTCACTTTCCCTCTCCCAAGTCGGTGGTGTCTATGGAGGAAGCTTTTCGCGAGAGTCTCCTCTCGTTGGAACGCGAGGAAGCTCTCCCTCCCTCTCATCCAGCATCTCTCTTTCTTACACGCCCTTACGCTTACGTTTAATATCTCTTTCTCTCGCGAGATAGGGGGTTGGAAGGAGAGGCAGGTCCGTAGATACACCTAAGAGGGATCCTCTCTCTCTCTCTCTCTCTTTCTCTCTTTCTCTGTCGAGTACTCACGCAGGAATCAGTAGTAGTACGCACGGGGAAAGTGAGTAACCTTGCTGCTGGTGCCGGCGCTGGATGGCCCGTTGCCGCATATACTCCACCTTCCTAGCTCGTACTATCCGACAGGTGAGGGTGGAGCCGAGAAAAACACAGAGAGAGAAAGAGAGAGAGAATTGCTGCCCCTCTCCCAGACTCCGGTTAGAGAAGCAGCCCTTATTTCTCCGATTCGTTCGGTGCACCCTTGCCGGATCGCATTATCGATCGATGGATGGGTGAGAAACTAACGAAAGGGCTCTACCACCCTCCGAACCATCTCTCTCTCTCTCTCTCTCTCCCTTTTTTTCTTCTTCTCTCGCGTTCTCGTTATGAAGAGAGACTCGCATCTTCCATTTCTCGCATCTTCCTTTTCCTATTCTTTTGCCCATCTTCTTATTTTCTGATTTTCGTAGTTTAATTAAATCCTCGCGTTCTAAAACGAGAGGACCGCTATTCCATTATAGACTGTACAGCGGTGTTGGTGAATTTCTTTTCGACACCAAGCAAGAGAAAAAGAAAAAGAAAGAGAGATAAAGAGAACGAGTAATGAGAAACTCGCAGAGATCAAGCGAGGATGTTTTTGAGAATCAAATTAAACTACGGAATAGCAGGGATTTTTTTTTTCTATGGAATGAAACCCGATAGCAAAGAACAACCATTCTCCTGTGATCTCGTCCTCTCGGAAGCTCATTATCGAGAATGTTTCTTATCGTTATTCCCTGTGTATATATAACTTGGCAAGGAAAGAAAGTAGATAACTTTTCATTGTTCCAAATAAAGCTCTCTCTCTCTCTCTCTCTCCCTTTTTTCTTTCAGTGCGACAATTAGAAAAGATGCAAATAACATCGAACAATGAAAAACGTGCTTTAATCTAAGAAAATTGTTAGTCTATCCCCAGTGTCGAGATAAGAATTGAATTAACTTTAGAGTAGTAATAGATAGCCTTTTATATATTCTTGAAAAAAAATATCAGTTATCTAAAGCAGCAAAGAAAGTAACAGATGCGATCGCGAACGATCTAACGTAATCATTTAATCTTTGTGTTTTTCTTGAGCCAGCAGCGTGGCGAAACGATATAAGTAGAGATTCGATAAAGGGAACCTACAGCTGATCCAAAATTTGATCTTTCTTCCCCTCTGTTGCGAACGATCACGAGGTCGCCGTCCCGTGCTAGACGGTGTGACGCCAGAGAAGTCTCGACGGATTTTCACCCTCGTTTTCCCTTTTGCCAATGGTCGGTCCCTCGTCGTGCCAATGTACTTTGACCGAAACAAATCTCATTCCTACGATTAATACATAGATATATATATATATACGAGTATATGTGTTCTTTTTACAAATATTTTGTCCGGATCGGAAGGAGGAATAAAATGTAATTTTTAATCTGACATCCAACGGAAGCAAAAACATCATTGTGTCGATGCTTTGAAAAGTACAATGGACACGCAGGTTAGAATTTTATCGATTCGTCCGAATGTCGAGCTCCAAATGCAGCCTTGACAGTCGGTATCGTTCGCGGAATGGGTGGGGATAGGTGCATGGGAACCACCAAAATTGGAAAGGCAATAAGGGTGTACCTCTCCCGGCTCATGGGGGTTGCCTAGCGACCCCAGCATCCCATTCTCTTTCTCTCTTTCCTTCCTTTACAGCTTCTCTTTCTATTCTCATCCCTCTATTTACTAGCTCGTGCTCTTCGCTACCCCTCTACTCCAGTCTTCTCTTCTTCCTTCACCACCCCCGCGCGTACTCTCATTTTTTCTTTCTCTCCCTCATGATATCTTCCATCCTTTTACCACCTCCAGTTCTGATGCTCTCTTTTTTCCTTCTTAACTCCGTCACACTCACCGTCCTGCTATTCTTCTCTTCCCCCTATTTTATTGTTTCTCTCTTGGTTTTTCCCTCTGATCTCTTTTCTATCGGATGACTCGTATAGTTTTTATCTCCCTCTTGCTCGTAGCTCATAGCTCGTAACTCGTAGCTCGTAGCTCGTAGCTCGTAGCTCGTAGCTCGTAGCGCCCACGGTTTCCTTCTAACCCCCGATACCATCTACTACTCTACCGCTACTCGCTATCATCGTCTTTCCTTACAGACTCCTCCTTGTTTCTTCCTCTACATCATTTTCGTAGCACGCAGCTACCTACCTCTCTCTCTCTACGAAAGACCAGTCCATTTCCGTCGCAGGGATCCAGGGCTTTCAAAGAGGCCATGGCCCGAATTCTATCGACCCGCACGATGTGTACTTTATGTACTTTCTATCAACAGTTTTTCTACTTCATTCGCGTCTTCAAAAAGATTCCTCGATTATCTCTCATACAAATTTACCTGCAATGAACAAGGAAAACATTCGTGGATTATTTCGTTACACTAAAATGTATTAGATAACGATCGGTCATTTGATAATAAAAAAAACACACACACACACACAAAACTCCGAAACAAAAGGAGAGTTTTGCAATTGGAGCCAATTCCCTTTTCGACATGGCAATCGTCACCTCTGCCAAGCCAACCACGACAGCGAGTCCTTGCTTCCGGCAATTTAATTTAAACATACAAAATAATCCCTTTGATGCTAGGCCCAGCTCGCTTGGATCGTTGCCAGCGGTCGCGAATTGGTGAGTCACTCCATTTTTCGTTAAATCTTTCACGAAAAAAAATGTTATTTTTTCCACGCCATTTTCGATTTCATTATATTAGATAGGGACAACAACAACAATAACAAAATCATTGGAAATTTAAGATCATTTGCGTGAACTATGAAAGAGAATACTCGAGTGGCAGAGTGCAATTAATTTTCCGTTTGATGGCGCACACCAATAGCTTTAACTGTTACTACTAGTTCACATGCGAAGGATACGTTTGTTGTCTTACCATCAAAGTGTTTATCCCCAGGATACACGAATCCCGTTGGCTCTCTCTTTCCCTCTTCTCCACAGGGATTCCGGTCATCTAACAGCAGGTGGCTATTAGATGCTCACTCTGCTTACGTAGTTAATGCTTACTGATCTCCAACTCGCAATTTTATCCTACCCACCTGCTTCTTCTTACATTATTTATAGTATGTTTATTGTTCGATCCAAAGCAAATAATCAAATACATTAGCATGTTGTTTTTATCCTTTACGCAAGAAATTTTGTACGTAATCTTGATACGAATTGCTTTTTATATGAGAGACGAAACGAGACATTCTTCAATCCTCTAATACATATTTATAACATCGAGGAGACTCAACAAGCCAGAAGTTGTCCCATGGATCTCAAGTGCGGTGTTTTTGCTCCATCGTCATTTTTTACACTACCTACTCTACTTCCGTAAAGTTATAATCGAGCTTTACGCTTGGCGAACCGTAAACTAGCGTCAAGTTTACAAGGTATTTTTCAAACAAATCACCGATTGTTTAAGACATCTTTGGACAAAAATTCATTTTCAATGTTTATCGATGCGAACGAAAGTATTGGATATTCGAGAGCAACGTCGAAGAGACAAACTTTAGCGGTACTCCATGCACAACTATGCCAAAATTTGATTTCGCGTGAAAATTTATGTTCCTATATCCGATAAATATCCGCAAGAACACACTACAAAGTGTACCAACGTTGTTACCGGCAAACCACGTACAACAGATAGCCTATAGATATCAAATATGGATAATGGTCTCGTATACCGAAACTTATACGATCCGTTCTATAGATTCCAGTGATTCGATCTGGTATTATAACACCTTCCATCCCCTGTTACCCTAGGTGTTTTCAAAAACCTAAAATGTCAAGAATTCTCATCGTAATTGTATCGCACCGAATCGATAGTTTTCAACGAGCAAGAAGAAGAAGAAGTAGTTTTTTCTTTTCTATTGTTATTTCCATTAGTCGAGGAAGAAACATAAATTTAACGTCTCCGTTCTTCCATCGAAATACTCATCGTTGGAAAGCTTGTATCCAAGGAGCGTCGAGTACGCGGCTAGAATTCAAAGACGAACGAAGGATCGAACAGAATGGCGAGAGGAATCTCGTTTCTGGGCAACCCCGGGGATTGAAGCGAGATAGAAAGAAATAAAGAAGGGAGAAATATCTGCCGAAGCCTGACAACGGTTGAAGACAAATGAAAACAGAGATAGAGCAAAAGCAAATATTTATCCTACTGGACCAAAGTTCTTGAAGCAGAAGAAAAAGTAATCATCGACGATGCCTAGATAGAGATATAGAGAGATAGAGAAAGAGAGAGAGAGAGAGAGAGAGAGAGAGAGAGAGCAGTAATATTACTTTCACGATAATCAAAACATTTTGACTACCGTCTTTTTATCCCGGTCCTAGTTTTATAAATAATATAAATAATAGATAAATTTATGGGAGGAATCATTGGAAAGAGAGAGAGAGAGAGAAAGAGAGAGGGAGAGAGAAATTGGACGCCCTTGAACGAAGATAGGGAAATTTGTAGGTTCGCGTTCACCCGACGAAGACGAACGTACTATAAACAGAGGGAGACGAAGCGAAACAAAGAGAAAAGAAGAAGACGAAGAGGAGGAAAAAGAAGGGGAGGCATCCCCCTCGTATTCCGAAGTGGCTCGGGATACGAAGACTATTAGGGAGAGAGAAAACACATAGGTGGGGAGAGGGGGCTCGATTTTCTGGGTGACGCTTGCGCTTGTGGGGAAAGCAATCGCACACACAGCATCGCCATTTCCAAACTATCGCGGAAAATGCGCGCCAGGGGTGGTAGGAAGTTTGAGAGAGAAAGCGAGAGAAAGCGATTCCCCACCAAGGAAGCGTTTTGGCCAGCATTCAGTTAGAGGGTGAAGCTCTTCGGTGGGGGTTGCGCGCACACTGCTAGGGTGGAGAGAGAGAAAGCGGCGCAGGCAGGCAGGCAGGCAAGCACAAGAGGAAGGGAGTCTCGGGGTTTGATATCGAGGGGCAGGGCTAGGTGGGCGAAGACGGAGAGGGCGCAGTGGTCCCGCGACCATCAAACCAACAACACCGTTCGCTACGCAAAACGGCGCATCCTGCTGCGCCCCCTTCTTCATCTTCTTCTTCTTCCACCTCGTCCTCGTTCTCGTCCCATCGTCGTCGTCGTCGTCGTCGTCGTCGCCGTCGTCGTCGTCGTCGCCGTCGTCGTCGTCGTCGTTGTCGTCGTCGTCGTCGAGTCTGGACCATCTTCTGCTTCCGTTGCTTCTCGTGCTCGCACCAAGTTCTTTTCATTCCTCTGCTCACCTTATATCCCTCTTTCATAAACCGTTTATATTTATTTTATTTATTTATCTATCTATCACTCTATCTCTCTCCTCTCATTGTTTTGCTGCAACCGTGGGACCAAGGGACAAATACAAATTCCAAGAAGATCCATCGAACATTAAGATTCGCGAGACAATCAAATGGAAAAAAAACGTTTTAACTATTTAATTTATCCTCGTTATTTTTCTATCCTTCCTACCTACGAGTCTTTATTTATACCTTACTTGAGAAGAGGTGATCGAGAAAAAAGAAGAGAATTCATCGGCCTAGAACAGAGATAAAGAAGATCATCGAAGGAATTCAGCAGAGGGAATCTTTTTTAAGGTAAATCCGACCACCAAGATCGTTCGGTTTGCGTTGCAGAATCCGTTGAGATTTAGTTTTTCCTCGGGAACATAAGCGACAGTCGATCGGGAAACGAGAAAACAATGGTATACCCACAAAAATAGTGTTATTTTTTTTGTCTATTAACATTATTAGTGTCTCGTGCGAATTGTTTTGTGTACGAAATGTAAATTTCCTTTCCCCTTAAATTTGAATGAATATTACTCCGAGTAACTAACTCGTAGGCGTTTTAATCGATCTTGCACCACCTTAATTTTATTCCACAAAACGCGTTATTATCATAGAAATTACGAATTCGTCGTTTTCCGTTGGAATCTAGGATAAGGTAACATATGGCCAGATACGAGATGCTAGCAAAACGATTTATGTCACATGAAACGACCATATGTCATCATCGAGTTGTCGGAACTTTAAATAAAAACTTTAATCACAAAATATTTTTTCTATTTATTKATATTTATTTATTGAAGTAATAAATATACCCGGTTGTACTAAAATCGCAACTCTCGTTCGCATCGAAGACACGGTTCGTTTCGTCAAGTAGTAAAGCTCAATGATTCGAAGGAAAGATCTCCGTTTGACGGCTCGCTTTGACCCTGTGTCTGTCCCACGTCACACGACGTGTCCCGATTTTCGTGACACCCGGTAAGCAACGTGTTTTCCCCCTATTCCTCGTAAGCACATTACGGTGTGTACTGTTGTTTTATCAGTAGTGCAGGATCGCCATGGCTACGAAGTATGAATAAGCCGCATAGTCTTCGCGTCGCCGTTACCTTCCTAATTACCATTTTCGTCATTTTCTGTCACGAAGCTACTCACTTCCGACCATAAACTTAACCAAATCTTCAATCTCTATGGTTGTTCTCCTTCGAGAAACAACGAAGAAGATACTTTAACGTTCTCTACTCTTCATTTCTTAATATTTTATTTAACAAATTTCAATACGCTTTAATAACGTCCTTTTACTCGTACGAATAACAGTTTCGACGATTGAACAAACGCTGCATTCGAGGTAACTTATCGAACTGTCAATATGTGATCAGCTGACGAGCTCGAACGAGGGTTTCTCGAGCGTGTCTCTATTTATAACCGGTGTGCTGAACGTTCAAACTTTACGCGGCAATATCCTAACGTTCTTAATTGAAAAAAAAACACCCCAAAAAAAAGAATCGAATTAGAATAACTATCAAGGCAAACAATACCGAACGATTCAACAGTAAACACAATTGAACAATAATAATCATTTACTTAAAGTATTATTAATTATAAGATATTAACTTGGTAGAGGAAAAAAAAATGGAAATATCAGCTTTAAGTTAGTTTGAAAGATCCGATAAAGGAAACAGCAGCAAGCAAACGCGAAGAGTGCTACTGTTGCCTGTTGTTGTTGGTGTTGCTGTTTAGCCTAGCTCTGAAGAAAAATCGTCTGTTTGTTCTAGATACCAGGTAGAACCATGCGGTTCGTCGCCCTGGTACCAGAGTTCTCATGAATGAAGGAGGGTTCAACAGGATCGATGGAGAGGGCGTGTCTTCCTCGAGTAAGGAGAGGAGAGAGGAGACCGAACAACGAGGGAAGGGGGTTCGTATCCGTGACGTTTTCGACCCCACCTGGGAAGGGTACATGACGGAGTACACGTGCTCGATTACGTCACGAGAATCTTCAAGCAGGACGAAGCGAAAGGGCTAATCCATTCAATTCGTTGTCTTGTAAGGATCGGTTACTACGACTTCTTCTACGACACCTTCTTGACTTTAAGTCAAACAACTGAGGTAATTTTTCCTTACTTTTCTCTCTCTCTCTCTCTCTCTCTCTCTTTCTCTCTTTCTCTCACTTTCTCTTAATTTCTTCAACAACACCTAGAATCTATCCTTTGATATCAATCATCTTTTTTTTTCATTTTCTTCAACATAAATCTTTGCTATCTTTGCTTACACGAAGCGTTCAAATTCCTAAATAAGTTTTTTGTAGATTATTCTCGGCGCGTTTCGAAATAATAGTAGATATAAAAATGTAATCTCTTTATTTCTTTGTTATTGTCATGTAAATAATCTAATATTACGTCCAGTTTTTTTTTTTTTTTTCAACATATTTCTCTAATAAAAATATAAGAATAACGAATTTGCTCACCCTCGGAAATAAAATATACGTTGTAGAGTGTGAAATTTTGTGAAAGTTTGAGAGACGCTATTTTTGAGGGATATTTAAATAACTCAATATTAAAATTTGTCCTGTCTCCCGTTTGTTCGGTCAAAGTGGGGAAGGGGAAAGAGCGTGGAAGAGGAGAGGGAGTAAAAGAGGGGTCGGGGTCGGGGCTGGGGCTGAAGCTGAAGCTAGAGGTAGAGAGTAGTATGGGGTGAAGGGTAGAACAGACGAGAGTTTAAATCGATGGACGTAACGCCTCCTAGAAGTAACCGTGACCCACAGTTCTGGGCAGACGAAGTTCCGGCCCTTAGAGGGAATGTTCCTTTGTGCCGCGATACCCATCCACTCACTCTACTCATCCCTTCCAACATCATGAAGCCACCACCAACAACGTCCTTCTGATTCCCTCCTTCTCCTCCCACTCACTCTCCCTCTCTCTCTCTCTCTTTCTTTCCTCATTTCCACGAGGGATAGACGAATTAGCTTTTCGAATGGAACACTTTGTTTTGGAGCATCTCGTTTGTATAAGGGGAAGAGATACTTCTTCGGTCGAAGAATCATTTTTATTTTATCATCTCACTTACGTTCATTAAGATTTTCTTTTTTTATCAACCATCTCTAATATTTGCTTTTGATTAAATTCCATTGAAAAGCTTTGACAAACGTACGTCAAATTGAAAGTCGATCATCCATCGGTCAAACGCATCGGTGATATTAGTTATGGGTATCCCATATGTTCCTTTTTTTAGATGCTCTGAAAACTGTTGGAGAGTGTGGGTTTCTTGATTATGCGAATATCTACAGACAATAGAACCCCAATGTCAGCTGCTCCCACCCTTCTCTCTCTCTCTCTCTCTCTCTCTCTGCTCCCTCCTACCCTTCCTCGAATCACCCCTAACCCCCGGACCAGGATAGCACGGGGTCGAACACCCTCCGCGAAATAAGCAATAAGTTATGGTGGGACCGACGACCCCCATCCCCTCCAATGTCATCGCTACACCCCTGATCATGGGTCCACAAGGGTGAGCGTGTACGATATCGTTGCATAGTATAGATCGACCGTTCATCAAGCTCAGTTCACATTGCGACGCTCATCGTAAAACGTTCCTTTCCCTCTTTCTCTCTCTCTCTCTCTCTCTCTCTCTCTTTCTCTCTTTCTTTTTCTCTTTTTTATCCTTTATCTTTCTTTTTTTCTTTTTTCTTTTTTTATCACTTTTCATATTTTTGTCTACTTTTCACCACGTTTCTCCCATCTCTTTTATTTGTATTCTATTATTACTCGGAGATCACACACGCGCGCGCATACACGCACGCACGCACGCACGCACGCATCGAACGTAAATTTGTCGATTCGCTTGTATCCGGAAAGAATCAATGTGTCGTGCGGTACTTTGATATAACGGTTCGGAGTGTCGAGAGTGGAGAGAGAACAAAAAAAAAAGTGCGCGTTCGCTGTCACACTCTTTGTGAACATTGACGTGCCACGAGATTAAATTTCATTTAACTTGACGCGAACACATTCGATAAAATATCGTCTGTTGGGTTGATAATCTCGAATCGCGAGTCGTCCCTTTAAAAT